GTAAAGAAGCTAAGGAGCAAAGAGGTGCCGATGGTAAAAGTACTGTGGAAGAGTGATCGTGTCGAGGAGCAAACTTGGGAAGTGGAGACCCTGATGAGGGAACAATATCCATTTCTGTTTGACTAGACGCGTGGATTTCGGGGACGAAATCCCAAATAAAGGGGGTAGAACTTGTAACACCGCCCCCGAGTATTTGTACTGTACCAAATTATGTATTGAACCTTGAGAAATGTATAAAAGCATTTTTACGTGATCGTAAATTTTTATCATTTCTATTACGTGAATAGTAAAATTCACGTGGGGCCCACACCGGATGTGGGGCCGCCCGATATTATCGGGACCACATATTATATTAATCTTGGACTAGATAATATGTATATGGTGATGAATATCCTAATTGGGCCTGGTAATGGCATAGAGATGACCGGTTGGTCAAATGGGGCCAGATTATCGGTATCGGCAAATTATCGGATAACAGCCCAAAAAGGGATTCCGGAGACTTCTAAATTAAAGTTGGGGAATGCATATTGATTCTAAGGTCCAATGAGGATTGGGAACAAGTGTTATATTTTATTTGACCCGATAAAATAAAATATACTTAAAACAGTCCGGAAAATACAACTTTCGGGATCGATTGTACACGACGGGATTTAAAGGGATGACCTCCCACATAAGTGGGGGCCATCCCACGAAATTAGGCTGTCAAAAGTCAGGGTATGCTGCACATAATGGGAGGGGGCAAGCATGGGCTGATTGGAGACCCAAATCATTCAATGACATGGACCCCTCTCCTAACATGATTGTGAGAAAATGCCAATATGGCATCCTCAATCACCCCCCACACCCCATATGCTGCGACTCCATCCATCAAGGGAGAAGAGAAGAGGCTCTGCAAATCCACATCTCCATTGTTGAAGGGAGCTCAATCAAGCAAGAAGCTAAATCAAGAAGGAAGAGTTGCAAAAAAATAGAGAAAAACCTTGGGAATAAAGGTGAGAAGCTTTTTGCAAACTCTTCTTCAATCTTTTCTTATCATATGACGTTCATATCAAATGGATTACCCCTATGACTGTTCTACATGTTTAGAAGTGTAGAATGAGGGGTTGGAAGGTGGTTCTAAGCCCAAGAACGGACTTAGAAGCCAAAGTGACCGGTTCACCGGAAAATAACCTTTTGGAGGTTATTTGTATTACTATGGGTTTTATGATGATAAAACCTTGTTAGTAACTTGTCTAAGGTATTCAAGGAACTTTCACGGAGTTGAAAAGGTCGCCGGAGTTGTCGCCGGAGTTCGTTGAAGTTCGCCGGAGTTTCGTCGGAGCTAAATCGGGAAGGCTAGAACTTCATAAGCTTCATTAAGGTGAGAAGACGGATTTATGCTTTATAACTTTTGCGTTAGGCATGAGATTACCTAAAGTAATCAAGGATAAGTTTTGTGGAATGATTAAAGATAATCAAGTATTTGCTTATGCCATGATTTTGCATAAAACATAGTTGAAAAACATGTTATGTAGGTTTGGTGATTAAAAATGTGATAATATATTTTGTGTGATGATCCAGGGATCCAAAATGGTATTGTTGGATCAAGGACATCAAGAAGTATATGTGTATAAAATTTCAAGTTAATCGGACTCCGTTTGGGGGGTAAAAAGGGGCGTTGACCGCCAAGTCAACTGCCATACCCGACCGGGTATTGACACATATCCGATCGGGTATTTGTTGTAAATCTGCTTTGTGGACTACTGTCTCCTGTACTCGACCGAGTATGGGTTAATACTCGATCGAGTATTGGGTTATGCTCAAAACGAGCAGTTTTGAGTAGGTTAACGTGGGCCGTTCGGGTGGGACCCGCCCACGTTGGATCCTAAGGATTGTTATATGACTATAGGGCTAGGCATTGTCCATAGTTAAAGGAATGAAAGGTTAGCCATATCCAGGTTAGGATTTGGTAGAGAATAGACTGGGGATTGAGTGCCCTTGGACGGTAAATGATCCAGAATACTCCAGGTGGGGTCGAGTACCCTTGGACGGTAAATGATCCAGAATACTCCAGGTGGGGTCGAGTACCCTTGGACGGTAAATGATCCAGAATACTCCATGTGGGGCCGAGTACCCTTGGACGGTAAATGATCTTAAATACTCCAGGATGGGTTGAGTGCCTTGGACGGTAAATGATCCTAAAACACTCGGTAGTATGAATCGAAGGTAGACTATAGCTTGTGAGCTAGGTAACCGGGAAAGGAGTGAGAAAAGTCAGGTAAGAACTTTATCTCTAAAAGACTATTTGAGGTAAATGACCTACGGGTTGAGGATTTTACGAGTATATATACAGTATGTATCATCGGGTGGATGAGGGACATCTATATGTATATATCACCCTATTTTTGGGTCTCGTGTCTGAAACATTAGTTATTCTTCATATAGCCTGCTTGTCACTAGTACTTCTATGGAGTACTGACCCCTCCGGGGGCCCTCACATTTTCAGGTTGAGGCTAGAGTCCTACTACCTGCACCTTTGCCTAGGGTGATTGATCGAGAAGGAAGACGTGGTTCGTGCTTCCATTCTTATTTCAAATGTATAAACTGCTCATGGATTTTTGAACAATATTTTCATTAAAACTGTTGGGGGCCTGCGTGCCCGTGTTTGCCACATGTGGCTAAGTATCAAACATTTTATTATTTTCCGCATTTGATTGATTATGATATTGATGTTGATTGTATGTGTTTACTAATCGGTTTGGCAATAGAATAAATCGGACGCCTTGTACAACTCAATAGGGATGAACTGTTGTTGTTCTTATCGGGTTGTACGGCGGTTGTCTACGTGGCTCGGATGCGGTCCGGGGCGTGACAGATGCACAGCGGAATTCTTTAACCTCTAGATGTTCAATGTATGATACTTTTCTAACTTGGGTAAAAATTGGACTTGTAGTGAGCAGTTGGCTTGGCAGTTGACTGGAAGGCAGGGAACTGCTGAGGTAACTACTAGTGAAATACTGAGTGTATGGTGAAAGTGCAAGCAAAATCTTTCTCAGAATGAAAAGGGCATTCTGATGATGTAATGAGATGGATTGATAATCAACCTTAATGAGAGTAGTGGTCTCAGCAGTTGGATAGTTACCAGGGAACTGATGAGGCACCTGCTTAAATAAAAATGAAGGTATGGAAAGACTGATTATATAATATTGTTCAGGATGAATTGAGCTTTCAGGAAATGTGCTGGAATGAATTTTAGGGGAAATTTATGAGAGTAGTGGGCTCAGCAGTTGGGTGGTTATAAGTGAACTGTTGAGGCACCTGCTGGACTTAAAAGATGAATTCTTGAGATCCGATAGAACAGACCTTTTACTAGCTAGTGATATGTCAAGGCTCCTGTGTGAAAATTGTTTCAAAGAAAGCAAGTTATTAAGGAGTAGGATAAGCAGTAGGGTCAATTAAGACTACTGCTTAGGATGTTGCTGGCAAACTACAAACTTTTATGAGAAGTGTTTGGTGTGTGCTTTGTTGACTGAAAGTAAATCAACACACAGTATATCCTGGTTCAGAGGTGGTGTAATCCTCTTACGTCCAGTCCCACCTGGCCTCTTTCATATGGATTTCCACTAAAGTATTAAGCCCAATACACTTAGTGTCAATCTAGCCTTTACAAAACTTAGGCCTAGATTGAAGGTGTTTCACAAAGAGTACAACACCACTCCAAGTTACTCAATCCTTAGACTTTTCTTGATTGATCCAGTGAGGATCAAAAGGTACTCTATCTATCTAACCACACTTAGGATTTGACAACACAATCCTTCAAAGTGTCTACAACAATGTTTTGTGATTTGTTACAAAAAAGTTCTAACCTCCAACTAGGAACTAAACTTCTAAGATTTATCAAAGAAAACTTGTGACTTGGAAGTTTAGTGAAGAATGAGTCCAAGCAGAGAGTAAAGTATAGTTTCACACTTTCTCTTTTGCTAGATAGCTCGTGAATGCTCAATGGAAGTATTTCTCTACTTTGGATGCTCAAAGCTTGATTAGAAACTTTTGTTTCAGCCTTTATTTATAGGCTTCTCCTGTTGATTAATCTCATCCGTTGGTTAGGATGGATCAATCTTGTTCGTTGAAGGTCTGGCAATGACAAGTTTGTACTTTCATCTTCTTGTGGAGGAGCTTTTAATGAGATGGTTTCCTTGTCTTGAATGATTCCGCCGTGGGAGCATCTTCTCCAAAACAGTTCATGTGTGCATCCAGCTTTAGGTCCGTGTACTTGATCCAGTATTAAATACTGGTCAAGTTTTGTCTCCAATCATTTTAATTTAATGTGTGTGATTTTCGAACCTGTGTGACTTAATTTATTTTTGTGTACAAATAAAATTATACTGGTAGGATTTAAATATCCTATTAAGGTAAATAAAAATTACCTTATTGCATTTTAACTTTCCAGCATAATTTTATTAGTCTCAAAAATTGTACAATTATTTTGTCACTTTTGAACACTAAAACGCAAATAAATAAGACATAATGTACTAGTGCAGTGTATAGTGGCATCATCAAAATCTATCAAAATTGGGTACTGACAATTTCCCCCTTTTTGATGATGCCAAAACTATACAACACAAGAAAGAAATATTTTTATTTTATTTGAGATTTTTGTACATTGGTCAAGATCTAAGGTACAATAGTTTTTAGTCATTTTCGGACTTAAGGTCTAGCCTACTCTTGTCTGTCTTCTTCTGATTTCTTCTTGGCTTCTTCCTTGACTTTGGCTTCTTCAGCTTTCCTTTTTCTGATTTCCATTTCTTCCTGAAGTCGCTTGTTATTTCGCCTTCTCTGCTCCCTTTTTGGCCGCTAGTGAACTGGAAGATGAGGGGCCTGCTTGTGGAGTATTTTCCCCCTTTTTGGCATCATTAGGAATGTAGCTTTCATCAAAGAGCTCTTCAATCTCATCATCAATGTCTTCAGTTGTTCTTCTTGCAGGATTGAGACCATAGACATGGATGGATAGAGCCTTGATGTAGTTTTTGATGTCCATGAGGTCAGTCTTGACTTCATCCTTGACTTTAAGTTTCAAGTTCTAGTTCTTGAACCTTCTTCTTTGTATTCTCCAGGTCTTGCCCCATCTTTTGATAATCACTGCCTTGCTTCCAAAAGGTGTCTTGGGTTGCCTTTTGTAGAATTTGGAAGTTGTTCATTCTTCGTGAGTTGCTCATATGCTTGGGCATGGGCCTGCTGCTCTACGAGAAATTTGTGTGAGAGCTTGAGCATGGCTGGGAACTCCTCATTCTTCATTTTGTTGATGTATGCCTCGTGCTCTTGTATCTTTAGAAGAGCTTGCTCAAGGTTAGGGGGTAAAGAAGGGAGAGAAGGTACCTGAGCAGAGGGCTCGGCTACTGATGGGGAGGCACCTGTTGATGCTTGTTGCTTTTGGTATGCTAGAATTTGATTCTCTAGCTCTTCATCTCTGGCGCGTAGGGCAGCTATCTCTTGCTTGAGTTCTGGCTGGTTTGAGAGCTGGATTTGGAGTTGAGCCTTTTGCTCAGAGTTGAAAACTTGTTGTATCATCAGGTTGCTCCTGATGTGCCTGTGAACCTCTTCGAATCTCAAGTCCAGAAGATCGTCAAAATGTTTCTTCATTTTGATCAACCGTTTGTGTAGTCTCACCTCAGCATTACTGATGAATTTGATGGTTGCCCTTCAAATATTAATCAATGAACAAAAACCAATTGAGTAATCTATCCACTGCTATTTGATCAACTTATCAAATTTTCTTCTATTGTGGAGTGTTACATGTTAGTGTATTAAAAATGGTAGTAAACTTTAGTCCTTGAGGGGGGAGGACAACATGCTTGCAATCATAAAAATATATGGAGAGCTTAGCAAAATGAGAACTCAAGACTAATGAGATAATAATATGTATAACAAGCATATCAACTGCAAAAATCACTTCACTCAGTAGAATATAATAAAATCATTTCAGGTATCATTACCTGCAAACAATGAAGGATATAGACTATATAATGCTAAGTATTTAAAAAAATTAAATTCAAGATCAGAGAGCCTTATCAATCTATTTTCCAGTGAGGTAATTGGGCATTTGTACCTCAACATCAAACCAACACGGTCTATATAGTGCTTCCGAGGAAAATTTCAATCAAATGAAAGTCAAAAGAGAATTTCCGAGGACATTTACCATCAAATGAAAGCATAATAATCAATGCTAAGCAAAAATCAGTAATTATTAATTGTATATAAATAAAACAAAGAACATCTCTTGCATATTAATAAAAGTATAACACACATTAGGCTAAAGAAATGTTAAAAGAGAATTTAATAAATAATTAATAAAAGTACACCCCTTACGGCACTTGTGAAAATAAACCTCTCACGGGCATAACATTTAACTTTTCCTGCAAATGAAAGTCAAAAAAGATGGTGAAGAGGCCAAAAGCTTTAACTTTATCTTATCAAAGAAAAAAGACATTTAATCTAAAACTATGAAATTAAGAACTTTGGTTGAAAATGTATCTAGAAAATTTAATCTTGTTAACAATTTCAAATGAAATTGGAAATCAAGATGCTTAATTAAAAATCATTTTTCACTAAGCAACAAACAGAAAAAAAATGATGAAAGGCACATAGAAATATGGGAATGATTGAATCCAAAATACAAAAGAAGATATGGACTTCAACAGTTGCAGCTCTTACTTGATTGCATTGACTTATAATGTACTTGGTTAGCTTCTGAAATTTCACTAAAGGCTTGTACACCCAACTGAAGCAACAAAAAATATAAGAAGAAAGTCCAAAGGAAACATGCTTTCATTTTATGTGTTTTTCATATCTAATCAGTAAAATCATATATCCATCCACACACACATATTGTGAAAGCATAAGAAGAAAGTCCAAGAGAAATGTGCTTTCATTTTTATGCTTTTCTTCATATCTAATCAAGTAATCAGTAATATGTGACCACACACACATATTTAGTTTTTTTTTATGAAACACACACATATTTAGTGAAAGTATGGGAAGGGATGTATGGTGCTTTACTTTTGCTTGAGTTTCCTTTCATTTAAGGTATCTACAATATAATATGGAGGAACTCACAGCATGAAAAAAAGAGTAATTTTTTTTTGTAAGATTCCTTATGCTAGAGTCAAAGTCATGTTGCTTGAAATGAAATGAAACAAACTTCAATTCCTTTTGAATAACTTGTTTTAGCATATATATAATCCATATGATCGAACTCGCAATTAGGGTACTAAAATTATAAACATGACATGGTCTCATTGATATACATATTCCCATTTGAGTAATTAAATGTCATTCTTCGGTCATAAAAGATACCAAATGTTCACACACCTGCCATCAATTACTTCTCCTAGGAAGTATTTTTTTGAATTTTTTACAAGAATATTACTAAAATAAAACATATTTACATAAATATGACTATTCATTACTACAATGTGGTGTTGTGGTAACTTAAGCTCAAAACTTGAATATGAATTACTATGATTTCATTTCTACTCTAGTCATTAGTCATATTTTTGTAAATCATCTTTATTTTGGTCATATTAATGTAATTATTTCTATTTTTTCCCCTCATAGCAGACTTTCTCCTTCTCAATAATTTACCCAATCATAGGGTAGCTGCACCCAACCAACTTTAGAATTTTAAATTTAAAGTACTATTTTGGATGCCAAGGCTCAATAGTAAGGTAGATTTAACATGCTAACTTAGAAGTGTGCTTAACAACATACCTTGGGGTGTCATTTTATTTTAGTTCTCATGAAGAAGCATACTGCTTTTTTTGTCCTCTCCCTGCAAATGCAATGAGAAAGAAATCCAATGTTGATCATACATGTTGCGCTCTTCAGTTTGAACCACAAACATAACCACAACCCAGCACTATTTAGAAGTAAATGTTGGAAAAATGTGTTAAAAATTGCATTACATGGTCATTTTGGGGCAATTATTTTAGTGGGGTCCACTTCCGATTTGGGTCGGGTCAAAGTGGTTTCGGATTGTCCTTGTTAAGGGCTACAATTCGATATATGGTACACTCAAAACGGATAACGGGTGAATGAGAAATTTATTCTCGAAGTTCACTCGTTCAAATGGAAAATTTGGGAAAGTAATGGGTTTCTAGTGTGTTTTATACCACACCGGAAAACTTAAGGGATTTTCACCCCCTTATAAAGGGAAGCCTCTTTTAAGGAGTTAAGATTCCTAAAGGTAAAGGCTCTCTCTTACGCGCAGGGGATTGCCGATCAAATCCCGAAACGGAGAAGAAAAACCGCGACTCGTGTGCGCGGGCGACCTCGTAAGGTATTCTGGTGGCTTACAGAACAGAACACCTCGTGGGGGAGTTCTGTTGGCCTCCGGACAAAAGACCTCTGGGCTCTTCTGGTGCCTTCCGAACAGAAGACCTTAGAGGTATTCTGTTGGCTTCCGGAATAGAATACCTAAGCCGTTACGAAAGTTAATGTCCAACGTTCTTGTCTTTTAATGCATCTTTAAATGGACAGTTTTTCAACATATTAATGTCCAACGTGCTGCACATTTATGTGCAACGTTCAGGTCCATTAAAGCTCAATTATCACACCACAAATCCTCCTATAAATAGCTGACAGGTGCTTTGCAACAAACACATAGTTTTACACGTTCACAACCAACCATACACACGTTTTAGCTCTGAAAAACACCTGCAGCTCTCCGAAAAATTCCTAAGTGTTCTTCCTTTGTTCCCGTTCACCGGAACTCTCGTTTGTGTGCTCAAACGTTGGTTCGTTAGCCACCGTATCCTGGGAAACGGTCGTTGCAACGCTCCTAGCACCGTGGGAGGCGACGAATACGTTTTAAGGACATCGTGCGTAGCACGAGCTTTGGCTAAACTCTGTCTCATCTCTTTTTTTTTTTTTTGGCTATTTAATTAATTAATTATTTTATTAATATTTCTTCATTTTTCCGAGATACACCCAAGGGTAAACTCAATAAATAAAAATATTGATAACTTGTGAAGATTTTCTTTGCATTCAAATAATATGACCATACCTTTCCGGTAATAGTTGAGTTTTATAAGTTCAATAGGATCAACTTGTTGGCGAGCAGCCTTTGTTTCAGAGTGGTTTTCACTTTTTCCCTGCAAAACTACCACAAGGCTTGAGAGTGATTCGTGAAGGACTGAATCCAATTTTTGATTTAAGAAGCTACAATGATTAGTAATTGATTACATATTAAATAGAGAAAACATAATAAAGAATTGAGATCATAAGTTCGATTCTAATTTCATGTTATATCGCTAGCCGATTGAAGTAAATGGTGGTGAAGAAAATGAAAGCTTAGAGCATCATCAATGGGCCAATGTTAACATAGAATAAATTATAACACATGGCAATCAATGAATGGAATAGTCATCCACATCATTTTGGTTGGATGCACCTAAACCGTGCTACCAATCACACCATTACACCTAATCTTGATTTTAAATCCTCATATGAAAGTCTTTACTCTCGTAAACCAGACTATGGTTTTTTAAAATGTTTTGGGTGCTTATGCTTCCCCTTCCTCAAACCTTACACTAGCAACAAATTGGAATTTCGTTCACTACCATGTATCTTTTTGGGGTATAGTTCCAAACACAAATGTTATATTTGTTTTCATGTATCTTCTTCCAAATCTTTTATTGCCAGACACATTGTTTTTGATGAGTCTGTCTACCCATACTTATCCCACAGTTCGTCTACCTCTCCACCTGTCATTCCCTCTGTGTCTCTTCCCTTTGATCCTTTGCAGCATGCCTCATCTCTCTGTCCAGTACCATCAGTTACACCATCTCCATCTATACCTCTCTCCTCCCCTCAAGACCCTCCCAACTCAGCCGCCTCATCACCATTGTCTCCAACCACATTGCCTGATGGCAGCCCTGACATCTCCCCGCCAACTTCCTCAACCGAACCACCACCGGCTCCGACCTACTCAGGTGCTCCCTCCTACTTCCGAGCCTCTTCTGATTCCCATCATACAATGGTAACTCGTGCCCAAACAGGTAATCTTCAATCCAAAGCTCTCACCTCTACTAAATATCCTCTACTCACTAACCACATTACCCCCGTTGAACCCAAAATTTTCTCTCAGGCCTCCAAAGATCCCAACTGGCAGCACGCCATGCAGCTTGAATATGATGCTCTTATGCGTAATAAAACCTGGGAGCTTGTTCCTAGGCCCTATGGGATTAACATTGTTGGGTGTAAGTGGATTTACAGGATTAAGAGGAAAGCTGATGGCACAATCGAGCGCTACAAAGCTCGCCTAGTTGCAAAAGGATTTCTGCAAGAAGAAGGCATTGACTTCTTCGACACATTCAGTCATGTGATCAAACCCACCACCATTCGGGTTGTTCTCAGTCTTGCGGTCACTTAGAACTGGCATCTTCGACAAGTTGATGTGAACAATGCTTTTCTCAATGGTGACCTCAGTGAAACCGTCTATATGGACCAACCTCAAGGGTTCATTTCACGTGACAAACAGACTCATGTTTGTCGCCTCTCTAAGGCTCTCTACGGACTCAAACAAGCACCGCGTGCTTGGTTTCACAAGCTCCAATCGTCTCTTCATCACC